GTGATTTTGGAGCCCCCCCAAAATAAAGTCTTCACTGTTTCCACTGTATTTATTAAATACACTGTTTCCTGTATTTATTTAGTGACATACAGGCAAGGCAAAGGCCTACAAATTATATAGCAAGTACTAAAGCCAGGTCTCATCTCTGCAGGGTGATTTAACTTTAAGCTTTTGTTGATCTGTCTCCTCCCTCCTTTTATTTTTTGTTAAGTAATAGCTACATTGAGATATAATTCATGTACCATACAACTGACCTATTTAGAGTTACCATTTAGTAGTTTTTAGTATATTCACAGAGAGGTGCAGCCATCACTACATGAATTTTGGAACATTTTCATTACCCCCCAAAAGACAATCTGGACCATTAGCCATCAGGTTCTTAACATATCTGCCCATCCCACCCTCCTGGTAGCACTAGTCAGCAAGTAATCTGCTTTTATCTCTCTAGATTTGTCTATTCTGGACATTTACTATCAGTGGAATCATATAATAAGCAATCCTTTATGACTGATTTCTTTCATTTAGCAGAATGTTATCCAGGTTCATCTGTGTTGTAGTATGTATCAGTACTTTACTACTTCTTATTAAGTAACTGTCCATTGTACGGATATACGACATTCATTTACCAGTTGATGTTCATTTGGATTATTTTGATTTCTTGGCTATCATGAATAGTGCTTCTATGAACATTTTGAGTAACATGGTTTTTTGCATGAACATATGTTTTTATTCCTTATAAGTGTATACCTAGGAGAAACTTGCTAAGTTATAGAGTAAATATGTTTAAACTTTTGAAGAAAGTCCAGATTGTTTTTCAAGGTAACTGCACCATTGTACGTTGCTCTTGTCAGTATATGAGCATTTTAATTTCTCCATATACACACGAACATTTGTTATCATCTGTGTGTTTTTTATTTTTTTTGATCATAGCTATCCTGCTGGATATAAAATGGAACTTTAGTGTGGTTTTGATTTGCATTTCCCTGATGGCTAGTTGTTGAGAATCTTTTCATGTGGTTATTGGCCATTCATATATCTTCTTTGGAGAAATGTCTATTTTGATCTTTTGCTGATTTTGTTATCTTTTAATTTATTATTTGAGTTCTTCATGTATCCTAGCTATAAGCCCTTTTTCAGACATATGATCTATAAATATTCTTTCCTGTTTAGTGGGTTGTGTTTTCACTTTGTTGACTGTGACCACTGAAGCATAATATTTTAAACTTTGATTAAGTCAAATTTATCAACTTTTTTCTTTGGTTGGTTGTGCTTTTGGTGTAATATCTAAGAAATGATTGTCAAATCAAGATCATGAAGACTTCTGCCTATTTTCTTCTAGGAGTCTTATATTTTTAGTTCTTACATTTAGATCTATGATCCATTTTGAGTTAATTTTTTAATACCACAATATGAGGTATAGGTCCAAGTCTGTTCTTGTACGTGTCACTATTCGTAGTCCCACCACCACTGGCTGAAAGACTCTTCTTTCTTCATCAAATTGTTTTGACACCCTTGTTGAAAGTCAGTTGACCATATATGCATAGATTTTTTTCTGGACTCTTAATTCTATTTCATTGATCTATTGTTTATCCTATGCCAGTATTACACTGTTTTGATTACTGTGTCTTTGTAATAAGCTTTGAAATGGGTAACTTTGAGTCTTCCAAATTTGGTCTTATTTTCCAACACTTTTTTTTTGGCTACTCTGAGTCCCCTGATTGTACATATGCTATTTAGAATGAACTTGTCAGTTTTCCGAAAAGCCAGTTGGGATATTGATTGAGATTGCATTGAATATATAGGTCTTTTTGAGGAGTATTTTTGTCTGAACTGTATTGTCTTCTGATATTTTGTACATGGGATATTGACCCATTTATTTAGGTATTAAAATTTTTTTTTCAACTGTGTTTTGTTTAGTTTTTTTCTTTATTATCTTTTCAGAGTATGTTTTTCAGTTTTTTTGAAAGGTGTATTATTAAGTATTTTATTCATTTGATGCTACTGTACATACAGCTGACTTTTAACTTGATTTTTTTTACTGATCATTCAAGCATATAGAACTACAATTGATTTATGTGTATTGATCTTATATACTACAATATTCCTAAACTATTTTATTAGTTCTAATATGTTTTTAATGAAATCATTAGGATTTTTTTATACAGGGTCATGTTATCGGCAAATAGATCTAAATAGGTTTACTTCTTTTTTTTCAGTGTGGATATAATTTATTAAATTTTCTTGCAAAATTGCCAGGCCATGACCTCCTGATACAGTGTTATATAAAAGTGGTGAGAGCAGACATTCTTGTTTCTGATTTTAGGGAGAAAGCATTGTCTTTTACCATTAGGTATGATAGTAATTGTGGTTTTTTAAAATAGATGTCTATTATCAGGTTGTGAAAATTCCCTTCTATTCCTAGCTTGTTGAGTGTCTTCATTGTGAATGGGTATTGAATTTCATCATATAATTTCTCTTCACCTTTTAATATTATCATGTGGCTTATGTCTCTAATGCTTACTAATATGGCATATTATATTAATTAATTTTCAAATATTAGTGAAACCTTGCATTCATGGGATAAATCCCAGTTGATTATGCTGTCAGAACCCTTTTATATGTTTCTGGATTCTGGTTGTTAGTATTTTATTGAATATTTTAAAAATTGCACCTTAATAACCTGGGAAGATGACAGTTGGGATCTCAGTGTTCTTAGCCTGCTTTGTTTGGAGTAGAGTGACCACCCTATCCATGAGGAGTTGGTGGAAGAGGGCGTTCCCAATATTTCTGTTGCAGTTACCCTTAGCTTGTATAAATCAGAGCTCTGAAGATGAAAAATCCTAGTGGCCTGCCCTTTCTGTGAAATATAATACCTGCTATTATGGCCTGTGTCTACTCACAACACTTTTGACTGTAGATGTTTGAGTTTTCCGCATTAAGTAGTCTTTCAGTTTTTTTCTTTCATCAACTGGGTGCCCTATAACTTAATTCGTCTCTGACACTAACTGTCCAGAGTTATTCCAGATCTCACAGGTTAAGGGCTCAGTGCCACTAGACTTTTCCTACCTCTCCCCACTTTTCAGATGCCAGTCACAAGTATTGAGTGCCTGGGTTTCCTACACTTCTATCTGATCTGGCTTCAAATTGGGATTCCCATAGTTCATTAATTTGTTATAATGGCTCACAGATTTCAGGGAAATATTTGACTTACTATTAGTACTTCTTTATAAAGGATACAATTGAACAGCCAGATGAAGGGATATATAGGGCATGGTCCCAAAGTATTCTGAGTACAGGAACTTCTGTCTCTATGGAATTTTGGGTGCATTACCCTCTTGGCGTGGAAGTGAGTTCACCAGCCTGGAAGCTCATTATGTCTTGCTGTTCAGGTCTTTACAGAACTTAATCTCCAGTCCTCCCTGGCCTGTACCCCATCCCCCTTCTTCTAAGTTGATGAGTATAAAGGTAAATTTCAGCTTGCTAATCCCCAGCCCCATCCTGAGGCTATCTAGGGGCTCCACCCTAAACTAGCTCATTAACATAAACTCTGGTCTCATCAAAAGTGCTTTGTTATTAATAAACCATAACTTTATGCATGATTTCCATTTTTCTTCACCCAACATATTGGTTACCTTATGATATTACTGTATAATTTTTTATAATTTGACTTACGATGATTTTTTTTCTATGTCACCACCTGTTCGCTCTTTTGTCCAAAGGAATTGTGACTCTTTTTCATTTCTGGGGATATTTGAAAGCTGATGTATGTGGGGAGTCCTACTCTAAGGGCCATATCCCAGTTCTGCTTCATCATGTGGTGGTTTAGTTACTGAGTTGTGTCTAACTCTTATGACCCCATGGACTATAGCCTGCCAGGCTCCTCTGTTCATGGGATTTTCCAGGCAAGATTACTGGAGTGGGTTGCCATTTCCTTCTCCAGGGGATCTTCCCAACCCAGAGATTGAACCTGCAAAATGATTCTATCACAGCTACTTTTAATAAACTGGGGCATGTCCAAACAGCCTTTTAGACTTCTGGAGACTTAGAACATTCTTGCTTATGATATGAACTATTCAGGGAGATTGTCCGTTAGCTTAATCGCATTTTCCCTTCTAGTTCACAGCTTCCACTATTTTGCTTCTTATTGAGGTGAAGACTGTTTAGATGATTTAAAGTCAACTAGCAGCTGGATCAAAGAAGGCAATGGCACCCCACTCCAGTACTCTTGCCTGGAAAATCCCATGGATGGAGGAGCCTGGTGGGCTGCCGTCTATGGGGTCACACATAGTCGGACACGACTGAAGTGACTTAGCAGTAGCAGTAGCAGCTGGATGGTACTCTCTCACTTGGCAAGGTCCTAAGACCCAACTGAAATTTTGTTCTACTGAATGTGAAAGTTCTTTTCTCATCCCTGCTTTAAATATTTAGATGTTAGCGTTGGTGAAGTTAGAGTCTTTGGAAAAGAGAGTTATTTCAATTAAATTTCCTAGTTTTAAATATGGAAAAATGCTGACTTTATCTGACTCATGCTGTATAAAATCTCTCTCTCTACCTGATTAGCAAGATCCTTGGGGATATATATTTTTAGAAACAAATTTAGGAGTTTTCTCTTATTTTTTAATCTCTGAAATAACATTCTGTTTTATAACAAGTTTTTCTAGGTCTATTATGGAGTGCTTTGGATTTTCAAATATTTGTACTAAGCTAATTAGGGGATTAATTGTATTACAACATGAAGTTTAATAGGCTAAACTTTCTGTGGTATTGCCTTTTGAAAGATGATAGAGCATACCAAGTATTTTATAAAAATCCAAGAAAATAATTTTCTGCATGAGCTTTTAACTGATATAAACCATTATGCAAATTAAAACATTATGGGTATTTTAAAATTTTGCTTAAATCATTAGTTACTGTTTAAATTTAGATTATCATGACTTCATGTTTTGGAATGCCACTGTTTTCTAGATTTTTAAAAATTAGAATAAATGTCATATTTTTAGACTAAACTTCAGTGGCTCTGTGAGGAACTGAAAGAGAGAGAAAACAGAGAGAAAAGTCTACGGCACCAGCTGATGTTGTGCAGACAACAACTCAAGAATATGACGGAAAACAAGGAAGCTGAGCTTCAGTGTCTTTTTGAACAGATAGAAAGACAGGAGCAACTTCTGGAAGAAGTACACCGAGAGAAGAGAGGTGTGTTGATTGCTCTTTCTCTTTTATTTTTCTTTGTTTATGTTCATGAAATCTTAGGGTTGGGGGAAAAATACTCGGTTTCTCTTGCATTTAGTTTTGAACTACAGAATTTCCAAATGCTTCTCCTTTCCTTGTCTCTTGTTTGCTTATCTTCATTTCTGGGTCTGGAGAGAGAACTGTTTCTCCTTGAGAATTTCTCCTTTAGCTCCTGTATCCCCACTGTGTACATTTCTGTCTATTGGCCATTTGCAAATGCTAATTAGGTAAGTCATGTTTGTTCTTCCCTAGTAAAGTGCTAAAATCAGTAAAATATGCATTCATTCAATAAACATTTACTTTGTTTCCCCAAATTATTGAAGTTGTCAAATTTATTGACTTAAAGTTTTTTGTAATAGCCCCTTTTTAATTCTTTTAGTTTCTATAAGATCTGTGCTGATGTCTCTTATTATATTCCTGGTATTGGTAATTTGTTTTCATTCTTTTGTTTTTATAAGTCTTGCTGGGGGGTTTATTAATTTTATTTCTATTTTCAAAGAAACAGCCTTTGATTTTTAATTTTTTCTATTATTTGTCATTTTAGTTTTTTATTGATCTCTAGTGTCATTCTTATTTCCTTTCTTTTACTTCCTTTGTACATCATTTATTTTTCTCCTGGATTCATAAGTTGGACACTTTATTTTAATCTTTCTGTTTCTTAATATAGTCATTTAAAATTGTAAATTTTCATCTTAGTAATGCTTCAAATGCATTTAACAAATTCTGGTATATTTTCCTTTTATTATTACTTAGTTTCATTTAGAAAATATTTCCCTTGTGATTTCTTCTCTGACATATGGATTTTTTTTTTTTTAAGAAGTGGTCTACTTAGTTTCCAATTATATAGAATTTTATAGATATTATCAGTTTCTAAACTTAGTACCCTTGCAGTTGTAAAACATACTCCATGATTTCAATGCTTTTTCTGAGATTTGTTTTATTAGCCCAAATGTGGTCTCTGTTAGTAAATTTTCCAGGTGCACTTGAAAATAAGTTATGTTCTGCATTTATTGTGAAATGGTCTATAAAAGTCACTTATGCTAAATTGTTTCACATTGTTCTGCATTTCTGGTGGTTTCTATATCCCTACTGATATTGATTATTTCTATCAATAACTGATAGAGGATTTTTTTCTATCAATAACTGATAGAGATATCCAGCTATTTTGAGGGTGTGATTTTTTTTTTCCCTCCAGATATTTTGAAACTCTTTTGTTAGATTCCATCTTGATATTGATTGTGGAAATGCATCTAGTGAGTCTCAAAGTTGTGTCCCGCTCTTAAGATCCCATGAATCTAATTAGGAGCCTATCGTAACAGTCTCAATAAAAGCAAAAGAGGAACTGACAGAGGACATTAGTAGTGGCAACATGCAAGATACTGTTGAGGAATTAGTGCAAGATTGAACAATGTGGGTGAATGAGAGAAGGCTCACAGGATACTCAAGGTCTTCGTGCTTTTGCCTTTGGGAGAAATAGCAAAGTTGGGAAAGAGGGGCTGATTTATTGGGAGACCAAAAAAGATCATGTTTTTGTCTATTCTTTAAAAACTATAAAAAGTAAAAGTCTCGGGAAGACCCAAACTTGTGATAGAGGGATGATATGGTAATTTCTTGACTTTCGGGTACAAGATGTATGAGTGCTATCTGTGATTCAGAAATAATGAGGACTTAATATGGATAATGAAGAACAAGCCAAGCCTGTTATAGTTGCATACGTACACATGTATTATTAGGAAGATATGAGTTTTCTTCTGTTTTAGGGGCTATTTCAGGGCTGTAGGTTGGAGCTGGGATGTTGCAAAAGGAGATGAAATCTACTGAGAAGTTATTGTCATGGACCTCTTAGAAGTTTAGTAGTTGTTGACTTAGGAATTCTTCATTGTTATGAATGGCAACAAAGAAAAGAGTAGAGAGATATAAACTGCAGCAGAGAAGATTTAGGTATGATATTTTAACTTGTGTAAGTAGTTATTTTTAGTAATTTCTTAGTAAACCATCCACTACCTACCTTCTTACTATTCTGATAGGTCACTGCTCCTGTGTGTGCCAGTTTTTCTGGCATGAAGAATACATGCTTTGAATAAGAATACATGCTTTGAAACTATGAGGTCTACTAAAAGTTAAAATTTATAGGCATGTTAGAGGGATGTCTTTTGTCAGAGACCTTTGAAAGTGAAAGTCTCTTTGCGACCCCATGGACTTTACAGTCCATGGAATTCTCCAGGCCAGAATACTCGAGTAAGTAGCCTTTCCTTTCTCCAGGGGATTTTCCCAACCCAGGGATTGAACCCAGGTCTCCTGCATTACAGGCGGGTTCTTTACCAGCTGAGCCACAAGCAAAGCCCAAGAATACTCGAGTGGGTAGCTTATCCCTTCTCCAGCAGATCTTCCCAACCAAGGAATTGAACCAGGGTCTCCTGCTTTGCAGGTGGATTCTTTACCAACTGAGCTATTAGGGAACCCATCAGGGACCTTTAGAAGGAGAGATATCTGTATGGTATGATTTAGCTCCATTCTTGCTTATGAAATGCTAATTATTATGAACAAATATAGCAGACAACTTAATTAACACATTTTTTTCTTAAACTGAAATTGTGAACTCTTAATTAATTAATGAAGAACTCATCTTTGCTTTCCAGGCACTTTATGATTATGACTGTGACTATTTCATGTACATCATTTTTCTTTCTGAAGTACTTAGAAATTCACATGGGCTCTTAAATTCCTTTCCCTTAAAGGTGAAATTTTGTCTTATTACCCAGTTTCTCTCTTGGGTAGGTCACATGCTTATTTGGCTTTGTTGGCGTCTCTGGGATCTTCATCTGTTCCCTCCACTCTGATACATGCAGTGCCTAGAAAGGCGATGTTCTTGGTATCCTGCACTGTGAATCCAGGCTCTCGGATCTGTCCTTTCCTGTCATGTATCACTTATTGGGACTGTAGTGCGTGTAATGATGAAATAGACCATTGTGAACGGCCTCTTTCTTAGGGAGCTACCTTTTCTGAGTAAAGGGAAAGATACTAATGGGACGTGGAAGAAGGGGATAGTCCTTCGGCTACTTCAGAAGGCACAGTTTTGCAGCGGAGGACTGTCGCTCAGGTTGTGTGATGATTTCTGATGAGCACCTGTTTTTGGAATAGCAGTGAAGTGGGCCAAGAAGTGGGTGGTGGGAAAAGGATCCAGGAATGGGAGGAGCTGAATAGGTGAAAGAAAGGTTAATTGGTATAGCAGGAACCCAGAAGATACGAGAGTGAATGGGGTCAAAAGTAAAGGTAGAGAAGTGAATCTTAGAAAGAACAAGGACAAGAGTTAAGACATTTTTTCTTCCATTACCGTTTTAGCACTTTGAATACATTGCTGTTTTGGGTAGTTTAATTTATCACAGTAAGTTTTGTAATGGTTCCCTTATTTTGACTGTTAGCTCTTCAACATTTGTGGTTGGATATAATTAATCTTTGCTTTGTATATGTTCAATGCCTGTTTGGAGAAGAGGATGCAAGGAATGAGCCAAAGCTACTGGATATGCTGTGTTAGACTTTGGAAAATGTGTTTTAGTAGAAGCCTTATGAATTTTAAGCCAAAACATTTCTCATAGTTTTTTTTGTTTGTTTACTTGCTTGTTTTGTAAAATATCCAAAGGGTAATAACACTTGTCATTCAAGGAATAGAGTCAGCTTAGTGATGAAAGTGGTACACTGTATATTCCTGTATATGGCTCTGAGGATGAGTATTCTTACTATATGATAGAGATATGATTTAGTATTTTTCAGTTTTCTAGAACTTTTTTTCTATTGAAGACACTTCCACAGGTTCTCATCTACGTGATTCACTTCTACCAGTTTTTTAAGGATTTTCCTCTGATTTCCCAGTGTTCTGAATAACTCCTTTCAACTGTTTTCTCTGTTTTCCTTTGTCCTTTTTCTGAATTTTTGTACCATTTCCGTGTTGATGGCAGAATAAAGAACAATTTTTTAGAGTTCATTTTTGGGACAGAAACAAGGGCGGGACTTGTGAACCGAAGGCATCTTTCCTGGAGTGAAAACGAGTACTTCCACTCCAGGACTCTTTCCTGGTCCTGGGAAACAGGGGGTTGTGTCATTTATGTTGTGTGTGCATTGTGTATTTATTGATTAAGTTTTTCTCTTACTTGTGATTCATATTTTATTTCCCACATTGTTGCAAGCAGTTTTTTTTTAAAATTTGTCTCATTGAAAGAATATTTGGCAGTCATGCAACTTATACAAATGTTAGTCATTATCTAGTCTAAGAGCTAGGAAAACCAATTTTTTCTATTGCATGTCGGAGTATAATTAAGCATTCTAAATGAATTTAAGGGATAATCTCTAAGTGTAATGTAATTTACTTGGATTCTGGTTAATTTAAAAGAATCTTTTTAGCACTTTATCTTACATTTCACCAGTTTGCTCAGAAGTTCAGTGATCTTGATCATTAGAGATAATGAAAGAATTTTAATTGATTGAAGAAATTATTTAAACTCACTAAACTATTATTTTGTTTAATGTGAAGTCATATATTCCTGCATGTATTTTCAGATTTTCTTCATAATTATTTTCAAAAACCAATTGAGAAACAGTCGGTTTTTAAAAACTTATATCCACTACTTGAGTAAAATCAGAAGTTTGTTTTAATTTTAGTTCTTGTTTTTGCTTATATATGTTTCATTATAATAATTTTATTTCTCATGTGTTTAGTGTTATTTAAAATCCAGCCAGGCCAACAGGTGAACTGGGATTGAAATTAAACTTCATTGATTAAATGTGCCTAAGACCAGAATTGAATAAATTAATGATATGCCTGGAGCTCCTGATAACCAACTTTGACTGACTCTATAACAACATTCATATTGTTACTAAGTAAATTGACAATAGAAAGTTATGGCTAATTATTCTTTAGTTATAAATATCCCCACCCACCTGCCTATCTGTGTAATGGGCCTGATTCT